GGATGCGGATTCGAACCCGCGACACTCAGATTGTGAGTCGAGCGCCTTATCCACCTGGCCATGCCGGGCCACTGGAGAGTTGAGACATGTCCCATTTCATCAAGGAGGCATCTGGAAACAGACGGAGACCCAGACAAGAGGAAGGAAGAGGAACATCCTCTATGGTATTGGATGTATAAAGTCACCAGGTGAAGTCTTTTAGTAAGAACAGAGGAAGGAAAATTAGGAGGACAAGGGAACCCAAGTGAGGAACCAGTGATCACACAAAGTCCATTGTAGATCTCACAAATGAGCATGACCCAAGGAGAGACTGGATTCCATGGATGCCCAAGTCCCCAAAAGAGAGAGATCCTCCCTCACAGTGAGAGAAGGAGAAGATAGGGGGTATGGAAAACTAATCACCCTATGGCCCTTATAAAACGAAAAAGAGGAATGAAGATGTAAACTGAAGAACACCCAAGTGAGTGATAAATGAAATGGGTGTGAGAAGAAACTTCTCCAGGTTGATAACCAATCCAGACTTGCCACCTCCTGAAAGAAAAGAGAATGGGCGTAGGAGGCTTGTTGGGACATGAGAAAAGAAGTATCTAAGAACCTTACCTCAATCATCCCAAGAGCTGGTGCAAGAGACCACTGTATGGTGAGAAAAGTCCCAATGGTAAATTGAGGGAAGTTGAGAAACTAACTGAGACATAAAATGGCTTGGATGTCTAGCTATGGATACCTCAGGAACCATGAAAAGATGTGAATAAATCTTGGAAAAGGATGAGAAACCTGTCCAATAGTCTTGAGCCATTAGGTCTAACATTGCCATGGATGTTGGCAAGAAACAAGATCTCTTGGAGGAGGGAAAATAATGGGAACAGGAGAAAAAGGAGTAGGAGAGGAAAAAAGCGAAAAGGTAAGGCTCTCTGACAGAACTCCACAATAATCCACAAAAGGAGGTCAAATGTCCATAAACCTAAGCAAACAGGACCCACCAATCCTAAGCTTATAGGATAGATGGAGAGGACAGATGAGAACAGAGGAATATGAATGGTGACAAGGAGAGAAGAGGAAGCAGGAGGAAAGTAGATAGACAGAGGTAAAGAAGGAGTTCAGGAGAGACCAGTAAAACAGTGAGGATAATGAATAACACTGGCATGCAGCCCCAACATATGACCCCAGAGAGACAAACACTCCAGTAAAATCACACAGGCAGATGAAGACATATGAGAGAAAATGGAGGTGAAAAGACTTGAGTAACAAGGATATCACTCCCCAACAAACTCTAGCAATGGATCAACCAAATAAGAAGGGATAAGTCTGAGGAAGAGAAACATGCCACTTATGAGTAAATAAGTGAAAGAGCATCCACTGAAAACTCTTGAGGGAAATGGTGGATTACCACAAAAAGGTGAATTGAGGAAAAATAATGAAAAAGGGTAGACAGTGTAAGATGAAGGTGGGAAACTTAAGCCTAAGAAAAGACAAACAAAAGACACAGGATTTGACACCCAAGTCAGAAGAAACGACTCCAGAGTTGAGGAGTCAAAGAAAGGCAATATAAAACAAAGTTAGGCCTGGTCCTAAGAGGTAACAAAGGAAGAAGGACCAAAGTTGTGATAAAAGGAATTGAAGATGGACTAGTATATCTAGTTAGAAAGTAAAAAAAAAAAAGAAGCAGGGATCGAATTACAAAGAGAAGGAGTGAAACATACTCGAGAAACCTAGTCCCAAAATTATCAAAAGGCTTAAGTAGATTCAAGACAGCATGGGTATAAGATAAGCCAAAGTAGATAGTAGGAAAAACCCAGCAAAATTCATTCAGTCACTGACAAGAAACATAAGTGGAAGTATGTCAGATAAGAAAGAAGGCACAGGCTGCATGAAACCACTCCACCACCTGCTGCGCTGTCACATCTCCCAACAGACAAAGACAAACCCAATGCTAATGTAGGTGTGATGTGAACAACAGCTTGTTGTCTTACACCAGAAAAAGTGGAAGTTACTGATGCTAATGAACTAATAATGTAGAAATTAATGGCCACAACATCTAAGGTGCAGAAAATGTTGGAAAACAAAAATCCAACAATACATACTTCTGCAACAGGCAATGTCTTTATAGATACTTCCACTTAAAAAAAAATGCCTAACTTTGAAAAGTTCATAATGAAAATAAAAGACACATCACAACAAATGAGTGCCAAATCATAAAGTGATGAATGTGATCTCCAGTACAGAGGAAATCAGCTGCACTAAAAGGGTGTGTCACACTCCTATTGGTGGAGGGTTGTCGCATGCTCATTTGCATGCTAAAAAGCAGCTATACCTCATATAATCACGTGAAGTTAGATGGGAGCCATATGGTTACTGGCAAGCAGAAATAGTGCATAAACAGGGCAGCACAAATTGAGTAAAGCCATTATGTGAGAAGAGATAAGGTACTGTATCAGAATTTAGTTTAAACTATAGTTGTATTAGCTTTTTTTGGTAAGTGGAAGTGTAACCTCAGCAAATTATTGTTATGTCTGGGATCTATGTATATCTTATTGGAACTATTGTATTTTTTAACAATAAATAATCCATAAGCATATGATACATCCAAGTGTACATAAAGCCAAGATGTTTCAATGAGGGCTAATGAACATATATAGATGTGTAGATATACTACATATTTCAAGCTGAAATCTATATTACAAATAATTGCTAAATCCTTAGTCCAATCTCATTTCTACTTTGATAATACGCCAGTGTAAAGTATCTCCATCATGAGAAGAACTTACCAAGTGCCACCCCAGTGCACTGTAGTTTAGTGGATGATGCATGGTGAAATTTTGAAGTGATAAGATCTTCCACAGAGCATGCTCTGATCTCCAGATTTGGAGTTTTAAATAAATCCAACTGTATGTGGTGCTTGTATAAGACACGATCAATTTGAGCTCTAGGTCCCTATAAAATGTAAAATGTTTTTTCAGTATGTGTAAAAAATATCTTCAATGCATTCTTTACTCAAAAACAACAGCATTAGCCTATGTTTATCACTTATAAGTATGATCATTAACATAAACTCTCTACTCAAGAAAAACATACCATACCAGTTTAAGATGCTCTACACTACATAATTTATTCAAAACAAAACTACCAATATTATTTGATAACACATGTATATAACTGTATTTACTATTAGCTCAGAAACTCTGAGGGTGTTACTTCAAGTTATTATTTTATAGCAATTATTATTTATTGAGAGCTACTACTATTATAAAGTAATTATTAACAAGAGCTTCTGAGTCAAAGTATTTTTGTACTTGTATTTATGGCAAAGCTACTGTGACTATCTGCTGCTGTCCCTAATTTTGAACTCCTGACTAGAGGGAAAACAGCCGGTCAGCAACACCCTATCACCCATGCTAAGGGACAGCCACTATTATAATGCATCCACAGCTTAAATTATGGAGAATATCTTGTGATATTGCATGGAATCGAAATTGACTCATCAGCTCTAAAATCCAGAGCTCCACCAGAGGGCCAATTCGTGTCCTAAGTGAAAGTAGAGTGTAGAATAATATGTCAATCACATTATATCTGAGAACTTCAGCTCAATAGGGCTCTTCAGACTAGCTGCAATAAAACAGACTTAATATTGGTTGAAACACTATCTAAATTAACAAATTACTTAATAACAACTGTTCCAATGTGAACTGGTTTAGGTTTGTGAAATGAAATTTTCTACTAATTTTAGCTACCTCACAACTCATCAGAATTAGGGCAAGTCTTTTTTAGTTTAGCACCTATATATTTAGTTCATAGTGAATTTCTAACCATTATACAGTGCAATGCTACCATGCTTAGATTCATGGTTTAAGGATCATATCACAGCCTTTGCTGAAAAAAGATTCATATAATGAAACTTAAGAAAAATGTAGAGCCAAAGGACATTTTGTACAATAGAGCCTTTAATGTTCTATGTAGAAGTGAGAGAACTCTAATACAACAGAGCATTTATGACAGTAACACCAAAACCCAATCCACAGTAATGCCCTTATCCTCAAAATAAAGGTTATCTATGTTTAAAACAAGAATGTTCCAATCCCAAAGAAAGTCATCCCAATGAAGCTGGGCATACCTCCTGATATCATAAACAAAATAATAATCAAAGAATTACAAGTTAAAATTTCACAAACTTCCAGTTACACCTTCTCATAATTAACAGCCATGTTTGTAAAATAAGATTGCTGAAAAATATGGAATTACTGCAATCCCATTCAACCACAAATCTACCCAATGTAACTACAAGGAACTTTTGTGCCTTTGGTATGCTTAAGCTTGAAAGTTAACATTCACATATAGTGGAGTGTGTGTAGAAAGTCTGTCAAGATGTGTGTCTAAAACTGATCTTGTAATTCTTCCCACAAAATTGTTATAATGGCAGCATAGTACTTGAAAACACCACTATTATGATGTGATTAACCTCAATATTTGACAGTAAAGTTTCAAAAACTAGTAATATGTGAATAAATTATATTTTGTGATGTTCTTATTAGGTCTAAGTTTTCTTTACAGTAAGCTGCTAAATAGTAAATCCAATTAAAATATTTATTTGCTTTTATCAAAGAAATCCTTCTAGAAATAATTCATCAGAGTATTAATCAATTGCAAGTGAAGTGAAAACTGACAAAAAACAGCAAACAAACAATGTCTTGCTTACCCATACAGCTGGCCCTTTTCTTTTGTTGAGGACCTTATACTGAATTCCTGAGTGATCTATGGTATGAAATAAAAACAATGATATTTTACCAAGGTACTTTAGTTAACAGATGAATAGTATTTCCAAACAGCAGAAAAACAAAACAAAAAACTGGTTCATACCTGGATAAATTTTCCATTTGATTTCAAAAATAAAATGGTTAAAATAACTTTAGCTCAAAAAAACTATTTATTCCATGGAATATTAGGCTGTGAAAGCATGATAGAGAACAGCCTTAGCATACTAAAAAAAGCAGCATACGTTGATATATTTTTAACTTACTTCAAGCATTTTTTTGAAATATTTCAGTTGCTGATGAATTAGAATTCAACTTTAGTTTAAATTTCTTTGTGGCAAAAGTTTCTTTAATTCTTACATCTTGTTTGTTGTTATAACTATACAAATGTACTTCTTGCAAACAAATGTACTTCTTGTGAGAATGAAACTGTTTATACTCTCAATGACATGCCTTCAAAAGATTAATACTTGATTGTCAGAAAAGGAAATCAAAATTTTATTTTAAAATGTTTGAAATAGTCTATTTTTCAGCTAGTTTCACTTAAAAGTTAAATTTCTATTTAATATTCCATATTAATTCTGGCTTAAGGATATGTAAAAGTTGTGTCCCTAACAAAACAGAGAAAGGTCAGAAAAACAACTTTAAGTTTGTTGAGAAAAAAAGGGCCAGAAGGGATGTTTGAAAGCATTATATTTGAAAAGGGGTGTTAAAAGATGGTTCTGTTGATAATTCTGCAGCCATCAGCATTTCATACAGTACAGAAATAAAACATTGGGATGGTACATCTAATCTGACAACACATATGGTCTGTAATCATCTAAGAACAATGCACATAAGGATCGAGCTTCATGCCCATTGTTAACACGGCAGATGCCTCATCAGTTCCAGGATAATTGATGAAAATGGTCTACCCACAAAATTTCAATCATTTTGTAACTTCTACTAAATAATCAATACTGTTAAGCTTCTTCCAGTCAAAAACAAAGTACCCATTGCCTGCATAAAGGGTTGTTAAAATCAAATAAAGTCATATACCTCTCATGTCAACATAACATATGGGATCTGGTGCTGAACTCTGGCTTAAATGGCATAAGCAGAAGAAAATGAGATGATTCTAACTCTAGTCAATAGATACACAATTCCTAACAGACAATATTTCTCAAAAAGACCGACACCTGACATGTATGAGATTGTAAAATATTAAGTGAAAGTGAATTTGGCTAAAGCTACTAAAGTGGCACTAACTACTGATGAATAGACATCAAATGCCATTGAGGTTTATGGCCCCATAATAACCAGTTTCATTTCACAAGAGTGGGAACTGAAAAACTATATGTCACAATTTATTTTTAGTTCATTTTGCTATAAAGAATTAAAAATCAACATTTTAAAAAAGCTAATTTATTTAAAAGGTACTTAATCAAAACTCTTTATTCATATGTAAGTAAACTGTTATATTAAATTCTTTCTTCTCATATGAACACAATAAAATATCTACAGAAAGCACCACTGCTTCATCCAAGATTCAATAATATGTCTTTTGACATGGAAGAAGAGCACTGATGATTATAAAAAACACAGCCTTCAATTCCCTCATTGCTAGAGATGAAGCTGCCCAAACCTTCAAGTTCCCTGATCACTTCCCATAAAGATCATTTTCAAAAATTGATTTTTTAAATTTAATTATAGTGTATCAAGACTATTACTTAACTGATTATCATTCCATTGTTTTTGGTTTTGAACAGTCTTATATAAATACAAAAAAGTCATTTAAAGTCATTAATCCTCAAAAGTATTCCAAAGCACTCAAATCAATGGAGTACTGATTTCTGTGTAATGGATGTATTTAAACTAATATCTACACCTCCAGATCATAGCGAACAAATCAGTGTTGAAATGGATTCACTGGCCAGAAATCTTAATTTCATTATAAAAAAGCACCAAAATACCTAGACATGAAAATATCCAGAAAACTAAATTCCTTTAACTGCTTTAAGGGCTTTGACTCCAATCATGAATTTTCAACTTTAGCTCCATTCAACTTAATGACACGTACAAAGTTGCCCGAGCTAAAGGGCACAACAATACATTACCACTCTCTAAATTGAAGCATGTTGAATATTTATACCCTTTGAAACTACATACAAGTTTCTGAAATCATTTCTTATTTTCTGCAAACCTAAAGAACAACGCTCCAGCAAAATTTACTTTGAAACTTTGATAATGAAGCCTGTATTGGTTGTTTCTGAAAGTAGAATCCGGTTGTGAGATTGTGACAAATAACAAGATGGTGCCAACAGTAACCAGTCATCCATGGAATGGAGCATGCACAGGGATAGAGAATGGAGGTGATTAGAAAATGCTCATATGATTTGGCAGAACACGTGTGGTGCCGATGCTAGTCTGAAGGTAAGAACCCTGAACTGTAGTACCTGACCCTTGTGCACAAAAATGCTGATAGTGGTAGGAGAGACGATGACATCGAACTTGGACATCCATAATCCTAGTAAAAAGTGCCAACTCAGAGTAAAGAATGAGTCATTTGTGAACCTTGGAGAATCTAGAAATTGATATGAATGAGAAAGATGGATGACAGGTCACCAGTCTCCTGTCTTCTTGGGCCCAACAAACTGATGGGAATAAAACCCCAGAAGAACTAGCACTACTCTCTCTACCCCAGGTCAATCAAACTCTGATAGCCCTAGAACGAAGTTCCAAAATCCAAGGATCTGCAAGAGACAGAAACATTACAGATTGGGTGGATTATGGTAGGGAAGATGTGAACTGAATGACTAAACCTGATTCAAGGACCTGTAGTGCCCATGGATCCGTGGTTAAGGTTTACCATATGTCCAGAAATTTTTGGGACTGAGCCCCACAGACCCTAAAGGAATACAATAATTACCAATGCCACTGGTAGCATTCTGACAGAGCAGCAGAACCCTTGGATATGGACAGAATCTATTCTGGGTACCAATGAACTGAGGAGCTAATGTTGGGGGTTGGGACCCTCAAATAGGTGTGGAACTATGATCCCCTGTGGGAGCCGAGGAAAGTTGAGATGCCAATGACAACAGGGATGAACTTAGAAGTCAACAATCGAACCAATGTGCATACTAACAATGGTTCCAGCTCATCATCAATGGACTTGGTGATCCTGAAAGTTTTACAACAAAAATAATAAATAACTCAGGACCATATATAGGATGAGATCAATCCTAAGATAGTTGTGATCTATTCAGGTTAACTACACACTCCACTCTAGAACCCAAATTTTCCAGAAGCAGATGTATTCATTGAGAGTCAGAATATGCTTCCTCCTGGTGATGGTAAGCTAAATCACATAGTTCTGACAATTGTGGTAGACAAGGCATAGTTGTCCCTTCATGTAACTCAGCAGTAAACCTTCCTCAAGAACCACAATGTCAGTGGATGGAGAGAAAACTAAGTATTAGCTCCCAGACTTTTCAGCCATCAAGTAAGGTGCAGGCTCAAAAGCAACTGGGGAAATACCCAAAACATCACACATTTGATGGACCAACTGAAGAAAAGGACCCAGAAGCAGCTTATCCCAAAGAGGCCTCCATTTACTTAGGCTGCTTAAAACTTTCTGCTTGGCATCAGTACACTTGGGTACAACAGTAGTAATCTTCTGAATGTACCTATCGGTATTTACATACATATATTAAATGAGGTAAAATGTTTAATATACCCTAAATCCTCACAAATCGAGATACTTCAAGACTAGAATTTTACTGTATATATGTTGCAGGAAAACTCATTCACAATCTTCTATGTAATAATTTCTCTCTTTTTAACTCATAAAATTACAATCAAAACTTACCACAAATTCTTCCACAAATACCATCCAAAGCATCTACTTCCTTCATTAAGTGTCCTTTACCAATTCCTCCAAAAGCTGGGTTGCATGACATCTCTCCTATACCAGAATTATGAACATTTTTTTTTTTAATTTTGCCCATTGGTTAACCTTAACACAATAATCTATATTATTATTTAACATCTGATGTTTTTAGAAGAAAAAAATGTTTAGAATTTCTCAAACACAAAGGCTTCAAATGAGAGGCTTACTATCTGTCAGTACAATTTAAAGTCTGAAACTTTGAAATAATTGACTCTGTTAAAGTTAATCTAAGCTACCATGTACTAAGAAGACAAATAAAAAAGAAGAAAATCTTTAGTTGTTCACATATAACTTAATAACATCATAATACTTTATATAGTGTATATTTTACCTAGACATGTTATTTAAGATCAAAGTTCTTCATACAACCTTTATCAAGATTAAAATACCAAACATGGACTAATCAAATGTCCAATGTAATAAAAATGTGAATAAACAATAAAATGTAATACTTCTAATACCTGTCACTATGGAGTTTTACAAAAACCTAAAAATACTTTAAAACTAATAAGCTAATTAACAACAGTACAATAAGCAGAGAAGAAGTAACAAAAGGAACTTCCATTGTAGCTTTAATCTTTCTTCCAGTTATTTTACCTAAAAGCTAGGAATCTCCTTTTAATTTATATTTACTACATTTATTTATACTTTATATTTGATACATTCATTTATAACTAATATTTTGTCCTCATGATTTTGTGTATTTTTTTGTTTAAGTGGGCCTTCACATTATTTTAAAATTAACACATCATAATTATTCATAATTAACAGTATCTTTTTTTTCACAACTTTCAAAAATAACTTTTACTTCGTATTTCTTACCAATAGTATCTACTTTGTGGGTCAGTAACATGGTTTTACATCCCATCCTTGCAGCAGCAGTAGCTGCTTCTGTTCCAGCATGTCCTCCACCTACTACAATGACATCATAGCAATTGTCTGTAGTTGAAGTGAAACTGATGACTTGTTTGTAGTGAATATTTTTGAGGGATGTGTTTAGATGACCTTTTTCGACTATTTTTCGAAGAAGATACCAAGCCCGCGAGGACATAGTTTTTGAAGTTTAGAAAACCTTCATATAAATAAAACCTATTTTAAATACATTGTATGCTACCTATAATCAATTTTCTTATTCATGATTTACAACAATAACTGTAAGAAAAACAGTTTTTTAAATCAGCTTTTGCAATACAAATCTATTTTTTGTTTCAATACTAAAGTTTACACTACACTATGTTTTAGATATATAAAGTAGTATTTTAGAACTTGGATTATAAAATGCTTTATACGACAAAGTTTATAACAAATAGTGGGCATACAACCCAGAAACACCTAATATTTTGTTTTTAAGTTGTAGTTCTACCACATGTAAACTTTAGGTGACTTCAGTACTCTGATGTGAGAGTATTAAGAAACAAAAATTGTGTATGGCATAAAAGATTTGATGCCTTCTAGCTGGTAAATAACCATGGACTCACCAATTGTTTTCCTTCTTAAATTGAAGTTTTGATATATATATTTTTTAAAGACCACCAGATGATACTGATGAAATTAATGAGAAACTTTATAGTGAGATTAAGATTTCAGCTGTTATTGAAGACATAATTATGGGTGATTTTAATTTCAGGCAAATAGATTGGGAAATGTTAGTCAAACCATGAGAGAAAAAAGTTTTTGAAAACTATTCAAGATGATTTTCTTCACCAATTGGTCAAGGAACCTACTAGAAACAATGTTATTTTAAATTTATTTTTAACTTCTAATACAGAAATTGTTGTGAGGGTGGAAATTTGGGAACATCTGGGTGTAAATGATCATTGTTCTATTAGGTTCGATGTTTTGCTGCATATGGAGATAACGAATAATGATATTTTGGTTACAAATTTCAAAAAGAAAATTTTGAAAGAATTCCAACAAGAATTACCTGTTGTGAATTTGGCAGCTGAGTTATTTGGAAAGACTGATCAAATGTGGAAAATTTTAAGTTTTTTAATATTCAAGATAAACATATTCCTTATAGTGGCTGCAAGTAAAAAAACCAGGTTGGCTCACAAAGGTTATAAGGGATAAAATAAAAACATTATAAATTTAAGAAATTTTAATTGACTGGTATAACAGGAGATTTAGAAGATTATAGAAGATCAAGAAAGTTGGTCAAACAGGAAATTAGGACATCAAAAAAGAATGCATAAAAAAGTTGGTTGAAAATGGAAAAAATAACAGTAAGGATTTCTTTAAGGGTAAACAAAATGTTACGATGGGGGGTAGGCCACTTGAGGGATGATAAAGGAAGGCCCATATCTGATGGTTATGAAAAGGCTGGGTTATCAAATTTGCTTCTTCTTCAGTTTTTACTAATGAAGATTTAAGCAATATTCTTCATCTTGAAAAGTTGATAGATGGAAACAAGATGATCACATCAATTATGAGCTTGTTAAAAAAATTGCAAAGTTTAAAGGAAAATAAGGCTCCTGGGCCAGATAATATTTCCCCAAGGCTTCTGAAGGAGGTTAAGGATTGGATATGTGAGCTGCTTACTACTATTTTTTGTCAGTCTTTGAATAGTTGGCAGGTACCAGAGGATTGGAAGTTAGTTAATGTAACTCCTCTTTTCAAGGGAGGTGATAAAAATTGTCCCAGTAATCATAGAACTGTTAGTATTAACTTAGTTTCAGGAAATGTTTTGGAAAGTCTAATAAAAGACACATTGCAAAGTTATTTAATAAAGTTTAGAATTTTATTAGATAGACAATGTGATTTCACTAAGAGAAAATCTTGCCTTACAAATCTTTTGACATTCTTTGAAAAGGTTACTGCTTATGTACATGAGGGTAAGTGTGTAGATTTGGTGTATCTGGATTTTCAGAAAGCATTTGACAAGATGCCACATAAAAGGATTGTAAAAAAAATATTTCTATAGGTGTGGGGGATAAGTTAGCAAATTGAATATAAGAGTGGCTAGATGGAAGAAAGCAGAAAGTTGTTATAAATGGAGTTCAGTCAAACTGAATTAATGTCTCAAGTGGGGGTACCTCAGGGCTCAGTCTTAGGATTTTTGCTCTTTTTTTATTTACATCAATGACACAAATGAAGGAATGGCCAATAAATTACTTAAATTTACTGATGATATTAAGGTCTTGTTTGTTGCTAGCTGTGAAATGGATGCTGCTGTGTTACAAAATGATTTAGACCATTTAGTGTGTTGAGCAGTTAAATGGCAGATGGATTTTAATTATAGTAGCTGCAAGATAATGCATGTGGGTTATTATAATTTGAATTATAAGTATAATTTGGATTGGAATAACCTTAAAAGTTTTATGAAAGAAAGGAATCTTGGTGTAGTGGTTGATCAGTCTTTTAAGCCATCCAAGCAGTGTGCTATTGTTAGTGGTAGGGCAAATAGGATTTTAGGTATTATCTACATAAATATTGAATACAAGTCTAAAGAATTTATAATTTCATTGTATACGTCATCTTCAGTTAAGACAGTTATATTTTTCTAACTTGGTGGTTGACCTTTGGAACGGGTTGCCTTCGGATACTGTGGAGGCAGTAAATTTAAGCAAGTTTAAGAGAAAGCTTGATAACTATATGAACAATAAGGGCTGGTCTTGAGGTATTTTTATTTATTTATTCAAAAGTTTTAGTTATGTTTAGAGGAAGGGATAGCCTAGATGGGCCATCAGGTCCCTTGTTGTCCCTAAATAATATGATATGTTATTTTATGAATGAAATAAATTAATTTAAATTTCTTTTTTTCTGAGTGCTGTTATAAATTTTAGTAAATGTCATTTTAAATGTAAATTGATAAAGTGAAAGTAGGTTATAAAGTACAAAATAAATTTTCTTTCCTTTAAATTTGATATTTGTATTTAAATAGGTTACAAACATAATGTTTTATAATTTATGATCTTTTGTCTTCATTACATAAATATGAAAACCACTGGTCTACTAAGTGATCCTTTACCAACAAACCTTAGGCATTCTATATATAAATATATACACCAGTAAGGCATTTTTAATGAAGAACAAAATCCATCAGGGAAATTGAAAACCTATCTAAATACAAATGTAGCCTGTAGGTACAAAACACAGGAAATAATATAAGCATTCTATAAATTTTACTTTTAATGATCTATACATATATATATAATTAAGCAAAAATAAAAACAAGTAATTGTAACATACAATTACAAAAGCTTATTACACCAGAAACTGTTTTTAGAAGCGATATGACACTCAATGATTTTATATGTAGGACAAGCAAAAAACACCTTTAGTCAATACAAATATTAATAGATGAAGGACGACTGTTTATTTGTTGTTAAGCGCAAAGCTACACAGTAGGCTATCTGTACTGTATCCATCACAAGTATCGAAATCAGCATTTTTGCGATGGGAGTCCACAGACCTGTCACTGAGCTCCTCGCTCACACACACTCATGTATGTGCGGGAAGGCAAGGTCTACGTTGTATGTAAAAATAAATCGAGTAAAACACTTAAAAAACACATGCATACATACGCGAAAAACTTAAACTCCCTGAGCTATCGCACAAGCGCGTAGACATGAAATAGCGTGGGCATACTATTACACAAAAATAAAACAAATACATACTTACATAAAATGTACATATACACAATTTACCAAAACAAAACTGCTAGACCCGTCTCTGCCTCAAACATTCATGCTTGCGAAGAACAGAGGGCACTCTGAACTTAAGATATACACAAACACACAGATATATATATATATATATACGTATATACACTCAAAAAAGAAAATACACTAAAACATACACCCCTCCCAAACAAAAACAAAAAAACGCACAAAAAAACACGTTAACAACACCCCGTCTTATAAAATAATTACACACATGCGAAACACTAAATCCTTTGAATTGCAACAAATTAATAAATTACAAATATACAAAATATGCACTTACACAGAGTTGATCAAGGTTTCACTCTCTTTCTCACCTTAACCCAGCCAACAAATTCTCCAGGGCCACAATTGTTCTGTAGTTTTTCGCCACCAAGATTTTACTATCGTCCTGGGCTTTCACCATGGCTCTCTCAATGCCGACTGACACCTGCAGACGTTACACCTCCTTTTCACCACCTCAACCTATCCCCTTCTCGATTGTATTGTTACGTCTCTGATCGTTTGTTAATTTTCCGTCTCTGGTCGTTTGTTAATTTTCCGTAGAAATTCTTCCCGAAAAACTTCAGCGATACAAGTCCTTTCTTAAATAAAACTAGTTTATTCTTTCTCAATATAACTTTGCAATACACTTAATTTCCACAGTCACTTTAACTTTAACACGCTATAATTCACAACGATTTACATACTTTAAGTACGCTTGAATCGATTATCTGTCTCGATCTCCCTGTCTGCTATTCAATTATTTCCCCCGCTTTATTTGCCAGTCTTATATATACAAAATAGAGGGCGTCTTGAGCCTTCAGGAACCTTCTAGATACTCATTACGTGTTACCAGAGTCACGTGACTTCCGCAGTCGTAACACTGTCCCTTCCTTAGTATTGTTCATCCCGAACAATAACTACTTATATTAAACCAACAGATAATTAACAATAGCTTAATTAAATGCACAGAATTTACAAATACAAAATTAAAATTCAACAAAGTCTCTTAATTTTACGGGACGTATCTTCTTCCGTACTGGTCTCCGTCTCGTTGGCTTCTGCTTCACGTGAGGGTTCATCTGCTCCATCAAGAAATGTCCTATTATCGGTAA